ATAATCCGGAAGACTCAGACTCAGACAATTCTGATAATTCCCTTGACTCTTCTACACCTTCTACGACAAGCGAACCTGATATTAAATTAGGATGTAATGACAATTGTTGTAAAAAAGTAAGAGTAATCACAGGACAAACTGAAGAACAAATTTTAATTGACTTAATCAGTAAAATTGAAGAACCGCAATTAAAATCTAAATATATAAAAAATCTTAAGGATCTGTTTGTCAAAACAGAAAAAAACAAACATCTTATAATAGAAAAACCTTTAATTAGTATTAACAAAACTATGGAAAGATTTAGTAAGGAAAAGAAAAAAGAATTAACCTTACAAGATCTTTATAGTGAAATTAATAAATTAAAAGTTGAAATAAAAGATTTAAAGGCACAAGACAAACTCTTGGCAGAAAAATTAAGTCTTTTATCCGACATTCTTGAGCAAGAACCTCAAGATAATTACCAATCTGACAGTGAAAAAACTGATAATTCAACTAAGACACTTTCCCAGCGGATACCCGTAGCCTCCACCTTCAATGTGGAAAACTCTGGTTTAACGAAGCTGCCATCTCACGATGGGTGTCTACAAACAGAAAATCAAATTAACTCTATCAAAGAAATTAATATATATATATATATATATATATATATTTTGTATAAAAATTTCTGAATCTTGATTAATTTTAATTTTGTGAAACAGTGGCATCACCTACATCCAATTCTCGTATAGAAATGACTAAAAAACTTGCTAATGATCCCACATGGGAACATTGTGATAAAGTAGAAGGATCAAGGTTGAAATTGAAATGCATTCATTATGCAAATGTCTATTGGGGAGGCATTTCAAGAATGAAAAATCATTTGGCAGGTAATCGCAAAGATGTAGCGTCGTGTAAGCATTGCCCTAAGGAAGTAACTAAATTTTTTAAGCAATTGTTGGATGATAGAGCTTTAAGCAAATATATTAGTCTTGTGGATTCGAAAAGTAGTGGCAGTGTGGGTAGTACTACTGTTGACAAAATACAACCAACCACCACCATTACTTTGAATACCATGTTGAAGAAAAAGGGTAGGAAAGATGTATACTTGGATATTTGTAGATGTTTTTATACTAATGCCCTTCCTTTTAATTTGGTAAAAGATCCATATTTTGTAAGAATGTTAGAATCTATTGCATCGTTTGGCAAGGGATTGAAACCTCCATCGTATCATGAGGTGAGATGTTCTTTTTTGAAAAAAGAAACAGATTTGATTAATGGTGGGTTGATGAAAAATTATAAAGCAGAGTGGAGAAAGACAGGTTGTACTCTTATGTCTGATGGATGGACTGATGGGAAACATCGCTCTATCACTAATTTTTTAGTGAATAGTCCTAGAGGAAGTATGTTTCTTAAAAGTATTGATACTTCAGGCATTTGTAAGAATGCGAATAATCTTTTTGAGCTTTTAGATTCAATGGTAGAAGAGATTGGTGAGGACAATGTTGTTCAGGTTGTAACTGATAGTGCACCGACTTATGTAAAAGCTGAGGAGTTGTTAATGGCAAAAAGGAAAAAGTTGTTTTGATCTCCCTGCATTGCACATTGCCTAGATCTTATTTTGACAGATATTAGAGACATTCCTCTAGACAATGATATAATGTCAAAGGCAAGAAAAATCACAGTTTATATTTATAGACATTATTGGGTGTTAAATCTTATGAGGAAGTATACAAAAAAAAAGGGATTTGGTGAGAGCTTGTGTGACCAGATTTACCACCTCATATTTAATTTTAAGGAGTTTATTTGAAAATAAAATTGGGCTTAGAGCAATGTTTGCTTCTGAAGAATGGCAGAGAAGTCAATACTGTAAGAAGGGTGATGGTGTAAAAGTGATGGATATTATACTAGTTGACCAAAATTTTTGGGGATCAATCAAGTATTGCTTGAAGTGTGTGTTGCCATTGGTGAAGGTGTCGAGGCTTGTAGATGAGGATCTAAAGCCTGTCATGGGGTATATTTACAAGGCAATGGACAAGACAAAGGAACAAATTCAAAAGAATTTTCGCAATGTGAAGAAGCACTATGAGCCCATATGGACTATTGTTGATACTAGATGGAACATGCAATTACACAGACCTCTTCATGCATCTGCCTATTATCTCAATCCCGCGTAAGATTGAAGTTTCTCAATTTTTATATCATTTTATATCTATATATTGTATACTGATCAATGATCATTGTAAATCAAAATAACTATTTCAGGTTTCATTACACTGGTAGTGCGAACTATGAAATAAAGATGGGACTTTATCAAACTATTCAGAGAATGTGCCCAAGTCCTATTGTGAGAGAAAAAGTTGATAAACAATTAGATATCTTTCACAATGCTGATTTGATATTTGGAATGGATAGGGCAATCCAGATGAGGAAGAAGAAACAACCTGGTTAGTGGTAACCTAACTTAAGTTAGTCATTTGAATGCAATTGCTTAAGTTAGTTAATGGAGTATTCTATTGTAATTTTTTATAGCCTTGTGGTGAGAATCATTTGGAGGATGTTGTCTAGAGTTGCAATAATTTGATATCCGCGTCCTTATCTTGACTTGTAGTGCCACAGGATGTGAGAGGAATTGGAGTACATTTGACCAAGTGCACTCTAAGAGGAGAAATCGATTAAAGCAGCAAAGATTAAGTGCACTTGTGTTTGTGAAGTACAATCTTCGATTGGAGGCAAGACACCAAAAGAGAATACTAGAGGGTGATTCCTATGATCCTATTTCTCTCTCAGATATGAAATCTGATGATGAGTGGATCACTAAAAAAGAAGATGCACTCCTTCCTGAGGACACTACTTAGATGAATGTTGGTGAATGTTTTGAGGTTCAAGAAGGGACTAGCAAAAAGAGAAAGAGAGGTAAATAATATATAATTAAAATGTAGTGGTTGTTTTTTTTTCTTCTCCATTACTTTGATTTTTTTTTTTTAATATTTTGTATTGGTTGCTTTGTAGGGCCTAGAAATCTTTCTTTAAACAAGAAAAAAGGGAAGCAAATAGTTCAACTTGAAGATGAGGATGAACAAATACAAGAAGTTGAAGATGATGAAGGAAGTGAAGACTTGTTGGCATCCGATCACAATGATGATGATGATGCATTTTCAATTGAAATTGAAAATTGAGTTCAAAATGGATGTTAAAAATTTGAATTAGAAGTCTCTATGGTGTTTTGAAGTTTGAATTATTGAACTATAGTTGTGAACTTTGCATTATAATAGTAGTGGATTATGTTGATGACTTGAATAGTTGGTTGAGTATTAATGAAATACTATGTTTTTATGAGTGTATAACTTTTTTCAAATGTATATATATTTTATTATTATTTATTTAAAATTACACTATATCTTACGATACATAATACGATACAATATTTGTATCTTACGATACGTCTTCCGATACACGATTTGATAACTATGGTAAAAAAATATCATGGGTTTATGCATGAAATACAATACAAATAAACAAAAAATAATACACAAACATATTTATGTGCAGGCAGTACATTTTATACCTAACAGTCATGAGAATGGGAGATCCACAAAGTAATATACCCAATCCGTCATTATAACCCACTACAATCTTAAAAAAAAAAAAAAAAAATCTACCCAATTCTAGTCATCAATATTCCAAGATCACAACCACCGTACACAAAATACTCAATACAATATTTAACTTTTCAAACAAATTATTGAAACTAAGCAAGTCTTACAATCCCGCTTAAAATTCAAACCAAATACAAAATCATTAAAAAATTAAGCATCACAAAAAATATTCTTTAAAAGAAAACATAGCTCAAATTGTCAGAGTAGTTATGCTCTGTCAAGTTACCATAGAACCAAAAAATATTTTCATTGTTTTAATTTACATAATAGGTGTTCACGTTGAATTACAAATGTGACGAACTTCAAATGCCTAGGGTTCTGCCAAAAATAACTTAATAAAAAATAAGCATCAAAGAAGAATCTCAAAACAACCATCAAACCAATAATCAAATTTTAATTCAAGTATCGAATTTCAAACGATTTGTAATTAAGGATTTTCGAGGAACTAATAGAAATTCAAACTGACACATGTTTGAAATAATAAAAAAGGTGCATAATAGAAAATTTCAAAAGAAAAGCACCTTCTATTGTTTAAGCATTCTTCGTCATTTCCCAAGTTAAAATGAACTGAGTTTTTCAACAGACACCCAACTTTACTAAGAACTTCCAACTGCAATAGACAAACTAAGAACTTTAAAAGCATATTTAAAATTGCATATCAAAACAAACTAAATTTTGACAGAACCAAAAAAAAAAAAACAACAGAGATATAATCCTTAGCAGAAAAGCACCAAGGGCAACTCCTGGAAGACACACTAATACAAACCTCGCTGTAGATGCAATCATGCAACACAGTCGACTCCAAGCACAAATGCACCACGACATTGAATTTCTGAATCAGAAGCATTGGTTGAATTGAGTTCACAATGCTCTCCATCTATGCGATTCATCTAATTGGCATGTTATAGAACTTCACACAATTGGATGAAAATAAGATTTATTCAATTAAGATGAAAATTTTATAAAATAATCAAAATTGTGGTGAAGTAGAGCAAGGAACTTACCCATTCAATTAAAAAAATAGATGGAGAGATCCAACAGCATGTGTTAGGCATTTTAAAAAACAGCTGATGTTCGTCATTTTAATACACGACTGTGTGTGTGGGGTGGTTCTCTGGAATGGGGAGGAGCTTTCGGGTGATGGGTTATTTTCTGGGAGAGAGAGAGAAGGGGATACCTTTGATGTGGGCTGGTCGCTGGAGTCTAGGCGTAGGTTGCTGCGCATCTCTGGGAAGTGTCTAGGGAGAGGAGAAGATAAAAAACACGGGGAAACCAAGCAAGGAATTAAATACACTGACAGTAAATCAAAAAACTAAAAACATTATTCGAAATATATTATTCGGTGGGCTGTGGTAATGACTGCAGGTATGGGTTCAGTGGATCTGTGGTGGGGATGGGCTCAGCGGTGGACAAGGGTGGTGGGGTAGTGTAGTGCTTGGTGGATTTCATGGTGGTGGCTATGGCTTGGTAGGCTGTGGTAGACATGAAGACGGTGTAGTGAAAGAGTTGGAAAGAGATGGAGACGGTGGTGGTGGCGTCGCTGACAATTGTCGATCTTGGTGGCTGGGCATTGCGACAGAGATTGTTCTGAGGAGAAGAGAGTAGGGAGAGTGTGGGAGATAGAAAAACAAAGAGAGAGCGGAGGGTTGAAGGCGAAGAGAGGGGATTAGGGAGAGAATCAGTAGCTTTGGCGAGAAAAGAAAGGGAGAGAGGGCGCGAAATTAGGACAAATAAGGGGTGGAGGCAATTAGGGCGTGAGAGAGGGCGGCGTGATTAAGGGGACGAGGATTCAAAAATTATTTTTTGAGCTGGATTAAAATTTCAAAAATAGATTTGGTCACCGGATCAATGATTTTGAAATGATCTGAGACGTGAATAGCCCAAGACAGTTTAGGATAATGTCAATCATTGGATGATGTCTTTTTTAATTTTGAAACGATCTCAACCGTTATTTGTTTTTAAAATTCAAAATCGTTCTACTTTATTATATAGATGTGTATGTATATGTGTATATATATATATGCGTACGTGTGTATATATATACATATGAAATTTCAAAATTCAAATGATACAAAAAAATATCAAAAGTAATTTTGAAATTTTCACATTCTAGTATTAAAAATCTCATATTCAATTAGGCATGAACTATTTATGGTAGAGGTAAAAAGACATTTATGACTTTTTTTTAGTAGATGTACTTGTATTCCAATAATTGTAAAAAATGTACTTTTATTTTAGGGAGGTACCGACCTCCCTAAGCCCCCCAAAAAAAAGAGGTAATTAGAGAGATTTGAATCCGGATGCCCAAGGATAATATTGTACTAGTAATGCTACTCAAATTCATCAGTTGCATTGATTTGGTGGGTTAATTGGGCTTTTAGTTGAAAAAATTGCGATATAATAAAAACATTATAATTAAATGAGGCCAAACTTAGTAATTAGTAAAGTTCAAAATTAGCTAGTTATTCTTAAAGAACTTAGAATTAATTCTAAATCGACCCAATTGAGTTGTAGTTTGGTCTCTTTGAAGTATAACTTGGCTACACTGAATTATAATTTTTGGTATATTATTGAAAATTTAGCCACCCTTGAATAGCATTTCTCAAGTAATTTTGTGAAGTAAAAAGCTAATTTCCTCAAAAAAAAAAAAAAGCAAACTGTATTTGATTACTATTTAGTATAAGTGACTTATATAAATAACACACTTACATATACACATTCATATGGCACTCCATAGACGATTAAACTTAAAGGATAGAAGTGAATCTCACTCGAAAAAAATATAAAGGGCGAATATGTAAAACAAATTTACTCAAAAGGTGATTGCGTAGTTCACTCACAAGTGGATTAAAAAGTAAGAAAAAAAAGAAAGTTCACTCATTAGGGGCATCTTAAAAGTTAAAGAGGCCCATCTTTATGGTGGATTGATTAGATTTGCAAGGAGAGTAAGTTTGCCACCCACCACTGTCAATTTCAACTGGCCCACCTTATTATGTGGTTTTATGTGAGTAAGATAGGATTCAGAAATACATTGAATTACGGATATGCTTTTGTTATATGGAATGTTATGACCATCACCTATATATGTTTTTTATTTTTTATTTTTTGATATAGGGTGTTTAGGCTTATACTGATTATTCTCTTGAATTCTGAGACCGATCACTATAATTTGAATTAGTTTAAGAACATGTCACATGAAGAACAAGGATGATTGACCCTTAGGAGATGTAAAAAATATCGAACTTGAGGCCTCTGATTTGTAACAGAAGATACTTAGCTACTAACCACTTCTAAAGAGTATCATTACCTATATATATGTATATAATATAGTAAACAATCAAATATGGATACGACAACTCTAGTGATACATGTTACTTACTAATTATAATCGTGGCTAGAGTTGTTAACCAAACTAAGTTATTTGAGCTTGGATCGGATTCGGTTTGTTCTTAACTCGTTAAGCTTGTTTGGAAAATAAGCCCGATGAACTTGACAAGCTTGACTCAATTATGTACAAATGCTCATACTCAGCTAAGGTTCGGCTCATTTTGAGCTCGTTTACGCTTTACTAGTTTAAATTAAATAATTTTTTAGGCTAAAAAAAAAGAAGAAATTTTTAAGGCTTTGCTCTTGTTTGTTTGACTATCGACCCTAATCGTGGTAATTCAAATGAAAAAGCTTTAAGTGTAAGTTTGAAATATTTGAGTTGGAAATTCTAATTGAAAGTTCGAAATCATTGTAAGCTTGTGATTTTGTAGATAATCAGACGCTTTTGCAGTTTGCTTCGATTTAAAAAACTCATGGTTGGAATGATTGTTCGACCCAAGAAGAGTAATAACTCTTACCGGTAGAAAGCGAAAGATTAAAAAATTTTGGGAAAATAGCAGTTTGCACCTTGAAAGATTAAAAAATTATTAATTTATATCCTCAAATATCAATTATTTAAATTACACCCTCAATGAAAATAATTGGTAACAATGTGACTCTAACCATAACGTCCATTACGATTTTTACCAAATTGACATCCACGTGAGATACATGTCATATTTTTTGTTGAATTATGTCTCTTCCGCTTCTCACGTGCATCTCACGTATCTCTATCAATTTGATGAAAATTATAACGGACATTATGGTTAGTATCACATTGTTACCGATTAATTTTATTGAGTATAAAATTTAAAATAATTGATCTTTAAGAATATAAATTGAGAATGTTTTAATCTTCTAACTGTCATTTACCCTTTTATTTTTGCTTGTGACTTAACTTTCCCGTGGAAAAGTTAGGTTTGGGGCTGCAACTATTAAAACTAACTGGCTTTTTACGTATCACCACAGATGATATCAATCAGTTGATGACTTTTTGCGAGGTCTATCTTCATTTTACTTGATTGGCCCCTGGAATTCAACAAATAAAAGGAAATTTTGTTTGAATTTCGTTATCTTAGTGTCAATTTACGAGTACTGACTATTTTTTTTTTAATCTATCATCATCGTTTCTAGTAAAATGAGAATGCTGCATAGGAAACGGTCGGAATAGCTCAGCTTGTAGAGCAGAGGACTGAAAATTCCCGTGTCACCTGTTCAAATCTGGTTCCTAGCTCATTATTAATTTGTATGAGTCTATATTCTACAAATTAATTGATCTGAATCAACATACATATTCATTAATAGTCTAGATCAGACTACATATTTTTTTTATCCATCTCAGTTCAGCCTTTAGAGTTATACCCCATCTATAAAATAGATGGGCAAATAGTTTATTAAATCCTTCCCCCAATTTTTTGATTGGATTTGATCTACACCTTCAATTTATTGTATAGTATCTCAAAATAGACAATGCCTAAAAAGTTCTCTTCACTTTTCTATTGAAAAATTCAATGTGGATTTTCAGTCACAAAGCTAAAATCTATGACAAATTTGAACCATTAACTATTGTCTGCTGACTGCGAATTCATGAACGATTCTTAGGTTCGAGTTATAAAAAAAATTGTATCTTTTCATTCAAAATACGATAAAATATTGAAGATCTCTAAGTATGAGATTTGTCTTATTTTAGTTTTTAATATTTTAATTGCATTATTTTAGCCTTTAAATGATTGAATATATTTTTATGTGGTCTCTCAAGCAGATATCATCCAGATTATTAACGATTTTTTATCATAAATTTGTTACGTAATACCTAAATATAGCCAAAAATATAATTTGAATAACTCTTGACTTGATAAAATTTCTATCCAAGTTTTGGTCAAAGAGCTATTCAAATTATACAGTTTTGATCTTGAGTTATCCAAATTTTAGTAAAAAATTACCCATATTACACATTTTTTTTATTAAGAACTACCAAAATTTTGATCAAGAGCTACCCTTTTTTTTTTTTTTTGGGTCGAGATTATTCTCACCCCATAAATCTCTGTTCTCACCCTCATTAAATTATAAATTTTTCTCATCTATACTCACCTCACTAGTAACTAAATCTGCTCCATTCTATATCCACCCTCATTAATAAATAAACTTATCTTAATCTTTACTTTTAGAGTTTTTTTTCTATACTCCATCTCATATAATCTATACAAAATTTACTCAACATGATTATCTATTGAAAACTGAATAAACAATTATGTATAAACTGTGTGATTCGAGGACTGAGAATTGATGATCTTTTTTTTTTTTTTGAAGAAACTTAGTTTCAGATGCAACTTACAACAAATATGCCAAAGGATTTCTTTATGTATTTGAGAAATTACATGTGACAAATTTTTTTTTTTTTTGCTAATTTCTTCAATCGGCGATTAAGAAAGCAACAAAGAAAATAGCAGAGAGGAATCAGAATACTATTTCGACGATGAGATTGGAGAAGATAATAGATCGAACGGCGACTATTGAAGCAATTTGCATGAAAAAAAAACTATGGAATCCAGTTAGATATATTTTCGTGTATAGACTATGTGAGATATGTATAGAAAGAAACCTTTAATGTGAATATTGATATAAATTTTATTATTAATGGGGTGCGTATAAAATAGAGTGAGCTTGGTTACTGGCGATTGAGTATAGAAAGAGTGAATTTAGTAGTTTTATTATTTAGAGAAATACTATTTAAACATAATTTGAAGACTTTTATTTAGGGACTTAACGATGTACAATCATTAAATTGGTTGTAAACTCCATTTAATATTAGAATTCATAATTAATCTAATAATTGTATTAAAACAACATCATTAAGTCTCTAAATAAAGTTGTTAAATAAGATATCTATAACATTACTCATTTATTTATAGTTTAGTGGGAGTAAAAGTGTAAAGGGAATAGCCCCACCTTTTTTTTGTATCACATGACAATATTTATGATTAAAAATTATTAATAATTTAAATATTATTTGATTGAAATATCATATAAAAATATATTCAATACTTCTAGAATAAAATAGAACAAATTTTATATTTTAAAGAATTCCGGTGTAATTACCTAATATTTTGTATTGTACGATGATAAACTGTAAACTATTGGAGTACTACTACAAGAAGTTAATTTAATAATAGTTCAATGCTGACTTGGAGATATTGGTAAGGGATCGGGCAGCAGTTAAGTTTTTGACTTCTTTCGCCTGAAGAAGAAGCACACACAGATCTCGCCTCAAGAACGTACGTATATTTTTTTATTTGTGTCCATTCCACTTCTAGATGCTGGTGGTCCTGTGGATAATATTATTTAATATTTTTTTAAGGAATTTTATTGGTTTTGTCTCGGAACTTACATCACTTAGTCATATGGTCTGATCTTGTTCGTATTCTTGGTGGTTGGTGCTATGAATCTTAAAGTGAGAGCAGTTCTTTGAAATTTAAGGGTTAAAGAGGGTCAAGCTAGAGTTCCTTCATCTGGGTTGCTTTTTCTTGTAGTAGTTTTGAATTTTGCGTCTTGGGTTTTGATCAAATTTGTCTTTTGAATGGTAGGTTTGAGGATATACTTAGCAGTTTTTAAGGTTTGATTATTGGGTTTTTTATTTTTTGGACATGTAAAGAATTAGCTGGGAATTAGACCAAGTTGGTGTGGAGAGGTTAGGGAGTTTGTTTGAGTTGGCGCATGAGACACGAGGAAATATTATAGTTGAAGTAATTCTAAGCAGGTTGGCTGTGTTGAGTTCTCTTTGGTTTCATTTTCTAAGGTGTTTTCATGGGTTTTTAGCAGGTTAGCAGTATTGGGTTCTCATTGGTTTCACTTCTTTTAGGTGCTTTCATGGGTTGCTTGAATTGGAACCATGATGTGATTGATTGGATTAAACCAATTTGAATAGTTTTGGATTGAGGGGATGATACAGTTGAATCCTTTTGTGTGTTGTGAGATATTTTGCTTTGAATTGAGCTGAAGGATCTGAATTCTGAAAAATGGGAAGCAAGGGTAAGACTATTGTATGGTTTAGGAGGGATCTCAGGATAGAGGACAATCCTGCCTTAGCTACTGCTGCTAAGGAAGGGTGTGTGCTACCTGTGTTCATATGGTGCCCCGAGGAAGAAGGACAATTCTACCCAGGCCGAGTTTCAAGATGGTGGCTGAAGCAGTCTCTGATCCACTTAGACCAATCTTTGAGGTCTCTTGGGGCTGCACTTGTGCTGATCAAGGCTCAGAGTACTCTTGCTGCTCTTTTGGAATGCATAAATGCCATTGGGGCGACAAAAGTTGTATATAACCATCTTTATGGTATGCTGCTTCTTTTCCCTATTTCCATAACTATATATTCTTTCAGTTCTTCAGTGACTTCTGTGAAGAAAAATTTAATGTGTAATGATTATGTGATATTTCATTTTTGCTATTTTGAATTTTTATTGCTCAGATTCCTTGGACTGTCGTAAAGGGTGATTTCACAATTTCTTTTTGTATCTTCAAACTTTGAAAAATAGCTATTGGATCTCAGAAAGGCAAATAATCATTTGGAATTGAAAGCAATGCAAACCTCAAGAAGATGGTAAATGATGTAATCACAAATTTAAGGAGCTTAAAGTTTCTTTTCTTGACAATTTGCAATAGTAAGGTCGGAGATAGAAAATTACAGCATAGAGTTTCCTGTTTCACCACGCCAAACTTGGGATTCAAGGGCTATCACGCATGGTTAATAAATGAGACTTTGGGGAATAGGTAGCAAATGTTTTCGGAATTAGTCGAAGAAAAGTTGTGTGGCTAAAGCAA